GCTAAGAGAAATTCATCAAGAATGGTGACACTTGCTGTGCTTGATAGAAATCATTTTTTGGAGTACTATGGGAACAGAAGTATTGAGGATAGAAATCACGCCTGCACCATGATGTTTAATACACTCAATCAGAGCTCTTATGACTCAGAGTGTAATCAGGATGGACAGGATTTTTTGAGACGAGTTCCATGTCCAAAGAATCAGCTGTGCCCCGATGAGGATTTACGCTGGAACGTAATAAAAAATCACCAGTTCACCTACGTTATTCAAGATCTTCTCCAACCGAGATTTTGGTACATGAGTTTTGTCTCTTGCTATCGCAACACTAAAACGTGCCAGTGGGAATGGTTCAATGAGAGCCTGGACATTGATTATGATATTTGGCTGGTCAATGGAAATCCAAATAACAGTGGATTCAATAGTTTGACGTATCAATTCTCGTACGATCGACAGAATACGATCGAACTCTATTTATTATTTTTCCTCTGTTACATTATCCTGGTACCGCTACAACTGTACGCAGTGCGACTGCAGAGACATCCTGTTACCAGATTATTTACTGCTAGTTTATTGCTGGAGTTTATAGCCATTTGTTTAATTCTCATACACGTTTTGAAATTTGCACTTGATGGTGTTGGATATGAGCAGCTGGAAGTTGCTGGTGATATTTTTGATATTCTGTCGAGAACAACATTCATGTTACTTCTTCTCTTGCTCGCCAAAGGCTGGGCTGTTACGAGAATCGAATTGACGTGGAAACCACTTGTATTTCTTATATGGTTTTGCTACGGTGTTGTACATATTTTGCTCTACGTCTGGAACATGACTGAAGTGGATATCGTGGAGGACATAGACGAGTACCAAACCTGGCCAGGATGGTTCATCCTTCTATTTCGTAGTGTCATCATGATTTGGTTCTTGTTCGAACTTCGTAATACAATGACGTACGAGCACAATACCCAGAAATTAAATTTTTTACTTCACTTCGGAGCATCTGCACTCGTGTGGTTCATATACTTGCCAATTATTGCCCTCATTGCATTGCAAATAAGTGCACTGTGGAGGTTTAAACTTCTGCTTGGTAAGTTTAGTTTCACAAAACTGTTGAATAGTTATCTGTTGCTCGAGAAACTCTATTTATTTAACGAAATGTACCTCTGACTTTCAGGAATAACTTATTCTGCGGATTGTTACGCTTATTGTGTCATGGCTCATTTACTGTGGCCAACAAGAAGTGAACAGTATTTTCTACTGGCACAAGGTACTGATAATGGTGATGAACTCGATGAGTTTAACGAGGCACCACATGTATTGAATAATTATGTGGAACCAGAACTCAATAAAATAATAGCTTAATTAAAAATCATTGGAGAATGATACTAATACGAATGATACTAAGAGTGAAGACACCAATTTTATTGTCCATAACTCCTAAATTTCATTGAGGACGACTCCACAGCAGAATACAATGGAAATATTGAACAAAAAAAAATGTACCATATCGACATTTTCATTGAAGAAATCGTCTTTATATCTTTAAATCGTTCCATAATTTGAAAGTTAATCTCAGATATTTTCGATAGAAAAGTTTCTTATTACCATAATTACTCATTTTTCCTCTATGATTTAAATATTCATTCTCAAAAGACGAGTCTGTTCTATAATTCGTTCGCATAAATTGAAAAATGATTTTTCTCATTATCAGCTGTTGAAGATTGGTGTTTTCACAGTGATCAAATTAGAAAGAAATTTTAATAATAATGAAAGAGAAGAAAAATCAGTGTGATGTAACTTTGCCAAAACTTCTTAACCTAAAGGGATGAATACTCTTACTCATGAATAGTCGACAGAGTTCGTACGAATTGAGACTGAAGTACCTCTGCATATTCATCAATCTATATAAGTCTCTTTTCCCTGTTTCATGAATAATCCTTTCATGCAACGCCTTTTAAAAAATTGAGAGATTCTATCGAGAGTAAAG